CAGATGACATAATGGAGGATATATCTCTACCAGAGGCGGCGGCTCCTTCGCAGCTGCGCCCGAAACCCAACCGCATCGTTACCGCTGTACGGACTCCGTCGATCTCCACGAATGGGACACCATTCTTGGATCCTTCGTCAGCGTCATACGATAAGGCCCCCAGTGCCTCTCTTGCTCCCAGTCCACGCACAGCTGCAATGCCATCTCCCAGTGGGCCGGTCCCTCGGAAATCAGATTCCAGGACTGCGTCTAATCGGAAACGACCCAGTTTGAGTTCCACTCAGGCCAGCCCACAGTTGCGACCCAAGATTAGTCCCAGCATCCAGCCACTTATGAAAGGCAGCGAGGGTGAGTTTTAACCTGAATCGAACCCCCATGGATGTTATACTAACTATATTCCAGGGATGTCACAAGATGCACTTTACCTTGCATCAAAGTCCAACTACCAACACATTCTCGACGGCACTCTGCCATCCGGTGTGAGCTATCCAGAGGCCCTGGCAGAGAATCTGAGCTCCAAACGGACGAATCACAAGCTCGCAGAGCAGGGACGCCGGAATCGAATCAACAATGCGCTCAAGGAGATTGAGCTGCTCATTCCGCAGGAGTTCATCGATGCCCGCAATGCCAAGGAAGCCGTAGAATCCGGTGGCAAGGCCAACGAGAAGGAAAAAGAAAAAGAAAAGGCCAACCAAGCCATCAGCAAGGCGACCGCTGTGGAGATGGCCATTGATTACATCAAGGCCCTGAAGATGACCTTGGACACGACTACTGCCAAGTTAGCCGCCGCCGAGGCCAAGCTATCGGGAAAGCCCTCCGAGGACAGCTCAGCATCCACTTCCACTGCCCAATCCGAGAAGATTTCAAACGGTGTCGCCAACTCAGAGACGAAGAGTTCGGCATGATCAGACTATATTACCTTAATATGACCAGATCTTCTTCTTGCCTGCATAGTGATGCAATCTATGGAACGGTGGAAGATCAAAAAACAGGATATTCCCTATTTGCAGGTGGAGGTTTTGCGCAATTATACTATGGATCCACGATCTATGTTTTATGTTTTTTTTTAATGTGATTTGATAGCGTTGGTGTTTGAACTACGGGTGGCTTATTTTTGCTTCTGCTATTTCTGTTAGATAACCTCTGCCAATTCGATTTTTCTTTTCCATTATAGTGCTCAGACCTCAGAGCTCTTACCTCGTATTCAACTAAGAGAGCTAAGCCTCTGGGAAACTACCTCAATTAAACAGCAGCGCGCTAGTCCGATCTACGTGTAACCCTGCGCTGTACCCCTCTATATTGTCTCTCATATACAGAGTAAATTAATGTGACTGTTCAGGTTAATATATTAGCTACTTTATAGCTACATAGCAATGGAACCTATCCTAACCCAATTAATGTCCCCCTCCATGAGGTATCACCTTAGGAAGACTTCGCTTACTTGTACTTTTGTACATAGCTCCTAGGTACCCACCAAATCGAATAAGAATCTAGCTCATAGAGGCACATTACCTCAAACCCTAGGAAACGAATGCTAAAGTCTAGCTCACACTTTTCAAATAACATGCCAAAGATGTTGTCTTGGAGAGAATACGAGGCTTTAAAGCTGAACTCAGTATTAAAATTGTCTTTCCTGTTTCCTGTGTTCAGCATTAAGTATGTTTATATTTAGATTATGAAGCCTTCCTAGAGCAGACTTACTAGTATCCTCCGTAATAACGGATTATGTACAGCAGCGAAAGTATCTGTTACATACACATACTCGTAGAAAGCTTGCAACGTGTGCTCGAAGACTTGAATAGTCTCCCAAAAATGAATTTTCTTCTAAGGTACTATGCTACAGAAGTTCACAAAGCATATCTCGTTCCTTCATATCGACATATCTTACTCATTATCCCTAACATCAATAACCGTCGTCTTGAACTTGCGAGCAGAAATCTTGCGATTGAACAAGATATCACTTTCACGGTAAGAGCGGCCCTTGAGCTCAGGAAGGAAGAAGTAGGCCGACACGAAGCAGACACAAGCGGTACCTCCCCAGACGTAACCACACTTTCCAGCCAGATTCCATCCGGTAGGGTTGAGCATCTGCGAAGCAAGGTAGATCATGGGGATCTCAGCGACATAGTAGGCGGCACGACCGACACCGGTGCTCAAAGCGCGAAGACGGACGGAAGAGGTCTCGGCAATAATGGTGTATGAGATGGGACCGAGAGAACCAGCAAAGACGAAGGAGATGATGATTCCCAGAATGGCCTGGGCGTAATTGGTCGCATGGTTCTGGCTGATAGAGGCGCAGACACCGAGGAGCATGAGCAGAATGACGTTAGTAATTGTGCCCCAGAGGTAGATCGTTCGGCGACCGAATGAGGAGGCCAGAGGTAGAGAGAGTATGTTGGCAACTAATTGAAGGCACGAGTTGATCAGATTGAGCTGGAATGAACGGTCGGATCCCATGCCGGCCTCTAAGTGGGATGTCAGTTATCCATTGCGGATTAGAATTTAGAGGGAGAAGGAGCTACTAACGTTCGAAGAAGTAAGTTGCCTGGTTGGCAATCAAGTTACCGGCAAAGTTCTGTGATGCGTAGATCAAGCAGGTGATGATTGTTCGTCTTAAATCGGTTCCCTTGAGAAGGTCGAGGAGAGTAGGGGAACCACCCATTTGGGCTTCGATCTCAACGGTTCGCTCAATCATGGCAAGGGACTGTTGGGCTTGCTCGTCGGATTTGCTACCAAGACGTTTGATGGAACGAAGGGCTTCATCTTTGCGTCCGCGGCGAATCAGCCACCAAGGGGATTCGGGCGCGAAGAAGAGGAGAATCAAGAGGGGAGTCTAGAAGAAGTCAGCGCCTATCAATAGAAGATTTCTCAAGGAGGACTTACAGGGAAGATCCACTGCAAGGCAAGAGGGATACGCCAAGACCACTCATCGGAACGCTTGTTGAAGCCGTAGGTTGCGCCGGCAACAATGATTGAACCGATAGACCAACTCATTTGCAGAGTAGCCGTGCAGGCACCTCTCAGGGAGAGAGGAACAATCTCACTAGCATAGGCGGGGGAGTTTGCAATGAAGAATCCCCAAGGGACACCTTCTAAGGCCTGGCCGACCACAAGGAGGGTGAGTGAGTTTGCCTAAGTGGAGTTAGAGAATAGCCCCAGCAACTGGGTAGGGGCAGAGCCTACAAAGAAGGAAACAAAAATGGTGGCGTTCATAAGGATCAGGGCAAAGATGGTTGTCAACCGGTAGCCGAATTTGTTGGTGACAGGACCGGCCAAAAAAACACCGACGAAAGCGCCACATTGACCGGCCTGAAAGAGAGAACTCTGCCATTTGGTTGGAATAACGTGACCCTCATGTCCCTCGACTGGAACACCATACTTCAATTGAAAAGCGGGAAGTGCGACAAAGTTACCATTCAGGAACATGTCGAAGGATTCCATAACCTGTTGTATATCAGTTTGAGATCTGGGGGAACACCCGAAATGCAGGGAACATTGGGATATCTCAACTTACAATAGTGAAACACATGGTGAACGCCCATAAACAAGCCCAGGGGTGACTCTTCATGGCTACCCACGTACTCATCTCATGTTCGCGGTTCTCGCCATCAAAGGCATCGTTCATGAGATCCGAATTGACCAAGACCTCGGATTGCTCGATCCCGGCCTTCTCACCGTCCAAATCATCTTTTGTGTCGACACTTGACATTTTCGAAATTTATTGTCCAGGTCAAGAATGGAGTGAGAATCAAAACCGGAAAATAAAAGTTAAGGACGGGCTAGGGGAGATCTTATACCCTTTGACCCCATTAACGCGTCTCTATGGGCATTAGTATGCGCGTGATACGTGGATTAATTCTGCCATCTGAAAGCTATCCAAACAAGGACTGTAGCGGTATGGGGAAGCAGGGGGTGCAACCCTGTCCCGCCGGGGTTTTTCCTGTTTCCCACGAGCACGACAGTTACAGTAGACAATCTGTCCGGACTTGGCCAAGGGCCGAGCCTAGTGCGTTGGAAGCTTAACTGAGTCCAGAAAAGGTTAGCCACCGGCGTGTAGTTGCGAATCGGCTGACCAGAAGGTTTGTGGCGTTTGCGGTTAACCTGCTTGGGGGAAGGAGGCCGGGGTGTTTAAATTGGAGGGCAATCTATGAACAAGTATTTGACCTAATGATGTGACTCTGGGGATTTCCCCTTAAAAATTTAGATGCGGGGCCCCGGACGAGAGGGAAGAAATAAAAACAGATTTATGGGACATGATTAGTTCAAATAATTTACAAGGGATGCGACATGGCCATGTAAATTGTCTCCAGTATCTTATTAACGTGGACGCCATAGTGTTGCATGGGAATACCACCATCCGGCACTTGTGGGTGATCAGATCAGATCAGAGATCTGCTCGAGTTCGGACATGAGAGGTACCCTTCCAGCTCTACACTAAATACAACCATATCCATGACAATGACATATTTTCAGCCTAGGTTAATAGTTTTATTTTCAAATTTACCCACCCAGAAAAATTGGGCGATGAAAAGATTGAAATATTTAGAACCTAGATTCAGCAATCGCATCCCTTTCCTAGCCATGCGCTATTCGGTCTGTCGCCATAATTGCAGCATGCCAATAATTCAGTGCCGGAAGGGAATATACACGTTGATCTTTACTGGAAGACGGCAAGGGTCATCGGGTATATCTTTGTTGTTATTTACATCATCGAGAACAATAGCTACCTCCAGGGTTTGGTTTGCTACCCCTAAACAATGATATACTATTTTCTTTGTTGATTCGATCATTTTTGCTGTAAATAAACACCGGAAACACTAGAAAGAAACGTTTACAATGAGAGAATAGAGTTAAAGGCAGAGTACTTGAGAATAATTCTTTCATTTCAAAACAGTCCTCATCTCGGCTGGTTTTACCACAGTAATGCGTTTCGCTGTGGCACAATCTGGTCGAGCCATTCACCCCATCCAAGCCGTCACGTCACATAGCCACCCTACACCATGCCTTATGCACCAACCGTGTTCAAGGAGAATGGCCCAGCCATTCTCGAGCCCTATGGATCCGGCCGGGGGCTACGGTGGGCCACGGTTAAGATTTCCGATGGGGACCGCCACCTCTGTCATGCAGATTTGATGCGCATGGTGATTGAATGTCTTCAGGGTGAAGAGGCCGTGGTCAACTCGGAATATACCAACCAAGTGAAGAAGCACGCCATTAGAAATGTCGTTCCCGGTTGTGGATTCCAGCTCTCGTTGTCAGCAATGGATTGATATAATTGTAGAGATCGCTAAGAGCTACGGAGATGGTATTGTAGTTGGTCGTATCTCCGTTGATCATAACTATGTCTTCGGTCTTAAAAAAACTTCTTGTGCCGCTTCACTGCCTCGGTGACAGGGCGGTGGTTCTAGATAGCTCTTCACTGATCTATTTAATTTTCCATTTCAAATTTTCTTTTGCATTCGCCATGCACTCCCAATAAATATCTTCAAAATCAAAGACACTAATTCGACCAAACATTCATTGTAAAGAGCAGACATTTTTAGGGATGTAGACAAAGTCCAAGATAATTGTGTCTCGTTGATCTTGGAATGTACATAGTGAAAGTGATCATATGGGCGAAGGCTCTCTCCATATTGTTTTTGGCTTCTGTTTTACCGATGGGGTAAGGGTTCAAGCCCCACACGTGATCCACTCGACGAAATGATTTTTTCTCCAAAATAATTTAAATAATGTCATGTCTGGTCCACGTCTTTGGCGCATTGTCCATGCAGTTCGATTAGAGATGGTAGCCCTGGCACCTATACACACCAGAGCCCCTCAAGCCTGTACAGGCTTGAGTATTTAAGAGGAGGGTGTATAGGGTGAATGAAACGTATGATGTAGGAAGCCCTCGACGGGTTTGCGACCTAGGACCTGTGGCCCAATGGTGAAGGCGCCGAGCTTATGTAAACATCCCTCTTGGGAGTTTCCATGCCGTTCCTCGGAGATTCGTGGTTCAATCCCGCGCAGGTCCACTTTTTTTTGGATGACCATATGATCCATATATGGATCATATATGGATCATACTATAACTAAGATTCTACTTGTGTTTTGCACCTGGTGTTTTGGACCTCTTTTTTTTCCCACTATCTTCCAATCTAAGATGCAGCATCACTATGACTAACCCAATTGGAATAATTTGTTCCAAGGGGTAGTTTCTACTCCGTACAAGCCCTGTTGTTTGCCCCAATAACTTAATTTGCGCCACTCCTACTTGTTTCGATGTCAAGCCGCTTCCATTGTGACGATAAAAATCGAAATAATAATTAATATAGTTAATTAGTAGTAGTACATATATATACATACAAAAACAACCAAAAGCAAAAACATACAACAGTGAGGATTCGCTGGTGGTCACCCACCCAACTACTAACTCACCGGCGTGTGGCTTAAGTACGGCTGAGCGGACGGGAAGCCCTGTTTTCCACACCCTATGGTCGTATGTATGAAGTTCTTTGTGGTAACGAAAGATAAAATGCAAGGAGCTGGTGCTAGTAAGTGGATTAAGGAACAATAACATACCCATGCCACGCCAGTCTCCAACATATCAAAATAAAACAAAGGAATAGTGACCCTGGATGGAGACATGATATCAGTACTCTGTGTCATGTGTTCCCGTTGATTCGGACAGACTCGATGTCGGAAATGTCGGTATCTTCTTTAGACTCGACCCTGAAAGCAAATAATCTTGGACCGGAGATACTCTCTCGTCGATAGCTGGGGAGTCCATCGCATATACAGAGATGAAAGCTCTCGGGTGAAGGTAGATGATTTCACTCTAGCAGGGTCGTGACAGAATCTTTCGCACCAGGTCATCAGACTAGGAGTCCCTTCATTTGAGCCGTCAAAACCTGCATCCAGGAGGGTTTGATCTTCCAAGTCCTCGTTTTCCTCTAAAGCTACAGCTTGATAATGATTTCCTTGGCTTAGAGGCTGCTCCCATTCAAGAGACGGAATAGGCCCACCACGAAAAGCCTTTTCGCCGTCCCCATCGCGAACAATATGCAGTTCATGCCACCCACTATCACCATTACCAAGGCGTAGTAATGTGGATGTCAAGTCGAGCTTGAAATTGAAATTTTTTTCCTTATCGTTAGAATCATTGCCTTTGTCCTTCAGCCCTTTGATGTCAACATACCGCCGCGGCGGCAACTTATGTTGAGCGGGAATGAGGCGATAGAGAGTACGTGGGTTGTTAGAAAGCGATGGATATAGCGTCCGGGTGCCAGTTTTGTCCTCCCAAGTGCATTCCAAGCCGCCCGGGATCGAGTCTTCGACTGAGGTGGAGTCGATTAGGTTATACAATTAAGGTTGGTCGCCATAGTTGATGGGCTTGAGAGGGACATCCAATTTCCCAATAATGCGCCCTAGGGAGATATATGGCACAAGAATATTCCACTAAGTTGAAAAGGTCAGTACATGGGAGGGCGATCCTCACCCTATCCATTACGCATACCACCATCGCCCGCCTACAACATAGGGCACGACATATATAGTTATAAATTTTACTCTATAATACTCTCCAGAGTCATATTAAGTACATACGACCATAGGGTGTGGAAAACAGGGCTTCCCGTCCGCTCAGCCGTACTTAAGCCACACGCCGGTGAGTTAGTAGTTGGGTGGGTGACCACCAGCGAATCCTCACTGTTGTATGTTTTTGTTTTCATTTTTGATTCGTTCGGGAAGTCAAAACTGCCTCCTCTACCACAAGCTCCCGAGCTCCTAGTGCTACTGAAACTAAGTCCAAGAGTCGCAAGAGGTAATCAACATGGATTGAGAGCCCACGAGTGTGTACGTTCCCAGTTTGCTAAGGTTATTGGTGATTCGGGTATTAAGGGCGGATTTGTGATCGGCGCAGATGTTTTAATGTACTTTTTGTAATTGAGATAAAGTTATTTGTTTTTACTTTCAAAGGCTTATCGTATAATCCCTGTATAATCCCTGCACATGTATTATCCATGGATGGTATATTAAAAAATAATAAAATCAGAAGACGAGAGAGTAACATCAACGCGAAGAACGGTCTCAATAATTTCGGCTGATCGGAACAACTCATAGAGGGAGATAGTCATATCTCTTAACATGGCGTCAGACTTGAGATCAGTAACTCACGAGAACCAAGCGCAAAACAGCATCAAAAGCAAATAATAAGAAGGAAATCCCAGGAAACTCGCAAAAAAAGATAGGAAGATTTTCAAGAAGATACAGAACCAGGGATGCAGAACAAATACAACTATTCCCCCGGCATTGTTCGAGGCATTCTTCAAATCAGAGTAACAAGTCTGCTATCTCATCGAATTCTTGTGGTCTTATCACAATGTCCCACTCTCCTGGGCTCGGGGGGCGATCCTGGATTGCAATAAAGGGGAGGACCATAGGAGCCCCATCTATAACCATCGGCATTCCCGCAACAAAGTTTCTAGTGACATTAACTTGATGGGCACAGTAGACTTGCTGGCGTTGTGTCGGCTGTCCGGTGCGCGGCGGGATATTGGGGGTTCGTGCACAGAGGGTATCGATATATCTCTTGGTTAGCGGACGGGGTGCAGTACTCGGGGCCAACTGCCACTGCTCGAATGACACAATGTTCTCACTCGTATGGATAAGTATAACGATCCGGACGTCACCCCCGGAATCCGCGAACCATTTGCGCGCATCCTGACGAAGTCGCCCAAGCGACTCCGAGACACCTGTTTCAATGACAAGTGATGGGTAGCCTGCATTTTCGATGGGTCTTATATGGCGAGAGGGGGGCAAATACGAGTTGTCAGCTTCTTTGCCTTTGCTTGTTCCAGAACGGTACGTTTCGATCCAACCCAAACCACCTCCTTACGGGGGAGGCCAATAGATTTAAGTTCATCGTGAACTACCATAGTGAACTGTGATGTAACAATCTCATGTTCTCCTCTAGGGGTAAGCTTGATAAGGCCAGTCGTGCCCTCCCACTGGAATTGATAGGGGACACCGTTAAGCGCGTTGCAGTCGGTCGTAAGAGTTTCATTTGTTGTTAATGACAGACCGAGAACCACAATCCACTGATTGCCGTCGGTATGGTGTTCAAACCATTCGATGATCCGGCGTGCCTCGTGGCGCAGTCTCGTTAGTCGTGAAAACGAAACCACATAGCCTTCTGGCAGACCAGGCATAAGGGTTGGGGCAGGATCTGACATTGTCGATGACATTTCGTTCCGAGAAACTTGGTTCGGTCGATGAGATACCACAGATCCGGACGAATCAGTAAATTCGGGATCTCGACATAGCGAAAATGAGTAGAGTGATGCAAAATGATGTAATATTCTCAAAGATCAACGACTGTGACGATGTTTATTGGGTGGGGTGGTGGGATACTGCAGGACAGGCCGATGCAGCAAGCCACGAATCAACAAAAACTCTCTTTCGCGTCAAAGATGGGTTGCAAAAAACATCCCATGGTAATATAATATACCTGCATAAATACTTAAGAACCCCAAACCCCAGCCATCAATTTTATGAATGATCTTTCGCTGCTCGGCGATCGTGTATACCTCGTCCACATCGGGTTCCTACTGAACGAGATATTTTATTTTTTTTCATCTTCGGTGATGGTCTGCAGTGCAGACAGGGCAGAAAATGATTTCTCTGGATCGGAATTAACAACCGCCATTATTAAATTTGAAAGAAAACGTACAGATGCATTCGATACATTGACAATATAATATATAGTATCGACGTCGGAGATAAGTGATCAAAAATTTAGGTTGGTGATGGCGTGCAAGCTGAGAAATATGTCGTCAAGGTACGGATCTAACGCTAAGGCAGGAGCTAGATTGTCAGATTTAGGAACAATATGTCGATGAGTACCTACGACGGGAGAACTTTGGAACTATTAGAGAGACAATTCTTTTGGAAATTCGACAGATGAAAAAAACAGTGGTAGGGTAGCGTAGATATGTTGTTATATACGTTGGTATATCGCCCGCTTCCTACGTAGTACTCCGTACGTATGCAGACACCTGCAATAAGAAACGCTAACTGCTTTTAGTTATACCGAATTGACATCGGACATATCCGCAATGGTCCACGGTTCTAGTGTTCTTTTCTATGGAATCTGAATCTATGCCCCACCATGCCGTATTTAATTGAAACAGCTCTTCGGAGTTTGCCCAAAACAACCTCATGACATGATAAAATCGGCAGATAAAAAGGAAACAACAGCCAACATGTCAGCAGTGCCCTCATTCGAAGATACTGCAGACTTCGAGGCAGCGGAACGCGGGTTCATCGCTGCCTTAGAGCCAGGCATTATCACAGATGCCAAAGGCAAAGTGGTATGGAACATCGATGCCTTCGATTTCATGAAAGAAGAATGTCCATCTACCGCACACCCCCATCTCTGGCGCCAAGGCCAACTGAACTCCAAGCACGGTCTCTTCGAGATCTGCCCCGGAATCTACCATGTTCGAGCCTACGATTTATCAAACATGACCATCGTTGAAGGCAAAGAAGGCATCATCATCATCGATCCGCTAGTTTCCTGCGAATGCGCAGCTGCAGGTCTGGCCCTGTACCAAAAGCACCGCGGCAACGGAAGGAAAGTCACCGGCATGATCTACTCACACTCACATGGCGACCACTACATGGGCGCCGGTGGTGTAATTGAGCAAGACACCGAAATCCCCATCATCGCACCAGAGGGCTTTCTCGAGGCAATCATAAGCGAAAGCATCATCGCCGGACCGGCCATGCGCAAACGTGGCGCATTCATGTATGGCAACGCGCTACCCCGCGGTCCCACCGGTCAAATCGGTACGGGACTTGGTATGGGGTCAAGCGTTGGTACCACCAGCCTTATACTCCCTAACCTTCTCATTCAGACTACGGGTGAAACACACACGATCGACGGCGTGGAAATCATCTTCCAGATGATTCCTGGCACCGAGGCACCTGCTGAGATCAATTTCTATTTCCCGGGTTTCCGGGCCTTCTGTATTCCTGAGACAGCGACAAATTGTATGCACAATATTGTCACTCTTCGGGGAGCTCAGGTGCGGGATGCCAAGGCTTGGTCTGGGTATCTGGATGAGGCGATTGTTATGTTTGCTCGTGAATCTGATGTTCTCTTCGGTAGCCACAACTGGCCGACGTGGGGGCGTGATGCTCTTATTCAACGGCTTGCGGAGCAGAGAGATCTTTATGGTTATTTGCATGACCAGACTGTGCGCATGATGAATCTTGGTATGGCTGGTATTGAGATCGCAGAGAAGATGCAGCTTCCACCAGCGATCTCGAGGGCATGGCACTGTCGGGGTTTCTACGGGTCTTTAAGTCACAACGTAAAGGTAAGTTACAAGAAAAATTCCACAGCCAACAGATCTACCGTTTCCTTGTTTATTCTTTTTTTAAGCCTATGTGGCTGAAAGAGTTCGAGCACATCGGCTCTGTGGGTTTGGCAACAATCAAATCTAACATGATCAGGGAATCTACCAAAAATATATGACCTGGTTCGACGGTCGTCCCGAGCATCTGTGGCAATACCCACCAACCAAGGAAGGACAGCGCTATGTTGAATGTTTCGGTGGTGTTGATGGCCTTTGCGACAAGGCAGAGACATTCATCAACAAGGGCGACAATCGCTTCGCTGCAACTCTGCTCGCACATGCCATTTCCGCAGATCCTGACACTGCGGGCCCTCGAGCAAAGCTTCTTTTAGCTTCCGTGTACGAGTCTTTGGGCTTTGGTGCCGAGAATGCAACATGGCGCAACTTCTATTTGACAAGTGCACAACACTTGCGATCTGAGAAGAAGGCGGGCATGGTCGCTGGAGGTGGAACACCACTAGGCGAGAAATTAGGTATTGATCAGTGGTTCGAGATTCTGGCCGTACAGTTGAACGGGGAACGCGCAGCAGAACGATTCTTTGCAATTGATCTTGATGTCACCGATGTGAAGCAAAAATGGCGATTGCTTGTCAGCAACGGGGTGTTGACAACGCGACGGCTTAACACCGCAAGCTCGTGCCAGGACGCAGAAGAGAACCCGGCAGACTTTGGCATCGTGCTCACGAAGAAGCAACTCCTGGAGGTTCTGCGAGGCAACACGATCGAAGCTGAAAAGCAGTTCGGTAAGGTACAAGTATTACAGGAATTGCTTGATTTGATCCTCGTAAAAGACGGGTCATCCCGAGGTCCCAGTCAACTGTGAAGCCCTGGATCGATGTCATTTTAAGCCAGCTAAACGAATGTACGACTCTAGTCTTTCATGAAATTTGGTTGACACCAAGCCTAGCCTAGAAGAAATCTTCGTTTGGACAGCATAAACATATAATAAAAGTTATGCCTGTCTATACAATTCTATGTGGTTTAAGGATTTTGCAAGAATCGGAGTAGATCTTACAGAAATCAGAGCACAAAAATCAGAGGCAATTCCATCAAGCCTACCTGATTAGCCAATTCCCACCACGATGTTACTTAATTAAAGATATGATGTCTATGGATCTCTGCAGGGCACGCGGTAAGCCAAATCCAGCATGCATCGGTATTCAAAGGGTGAGCCGACTCGAGAGACCATCAGTATAAGAAGAGCTGGTAGTGGGTCGTCAACATGTTGTTACGAAAGAAATCAAGATGGGGCCATAAGACGAGGGATATTGATTGGATGGATAAAATATGTTACGTACAGTGACCTAGGTACGATAGATCTGCTGCGCAGTCCTATGTTCGGGGTTAAAACCGAGTTTAAAGAGAGATCTCGGTCAATACATAATGTAAGCCATTCATACCTCCACTGACTCAAATGAAACTTCTGTACATCTACGGATATAAAATCTTCATTTCCTTTTCATATAAGAACACCAGCAGATTCACCTGGGCAGGATACCTTCATTACTAAGGCATATATAATAGGAATCCAGGTATTTTGATCTTTCTCCCATTCTATGGTAAATCCAGGCACCAAAGCTCCTGAAGAGTGGCTTAAACCCGCTGTATTTGCCACAACCTTTTAACTGTCATAATGAGAACATATATGTTCATATACTTTGGAACGCTGGCGTTCCACAACAATACATATATAATATATATATCCAACTCTCCTTCTCTCTCTCTTTCTTTCTGATACCATTATACCTAGCATCCTAAATTCCTGGATTCCTTGTGATTATATCAAAAACCGAAATGGCAGAACCAGAAACACAAAATGGCTACCTCGATCTTGGGGGTAGCTTCCTTAAAGAGCTACCAAATTCAATCGAAAGATATCCATACGAAGGAGAGTGCTCCTTCCTCCGCATCTTCAATCTAAAACTTAATCACCACGAGTCCTCGGGACATGAGAAAAACAACTTCATCCTATTTCATACGAGTCGTGAAATGATTGAAAACCTGTTGAATCCAGACAACGAATCAACTACCCTTACAAAGAACTGTTCCTCTTTTGATCTCGATGAGGAACTTATCCTGATCAAGATGCCATCTCCGGAACATTCGACTGCACTCGCTGCCATGGACGACGCAATCACAGCAGCTCTGCTACCAATGGGGCTATTTCGCCACCTAGACAAATACCCTAGAACGACTATCCAGGGGAGAACAAGAGGAAAGCAACCTGACCAAGGCTGGGGCTCTAAAAGGCCACCGCGTGGTTGCGAAAGGAGGCCCTAGGTTGTTTTAGAGGTCGCTTGGTCTGAATCAGATTCAAAATTGAATTCTGATGTTCGATTCTGGATGGATCCGGCCGACGGAAATGCCAAGATTTGTCTAGCTCTGAAAGTAGACAAACGCCAGCCAGCAATCCGTATTGAGAACTGGAGACTCCAGAATGGAAGGCCCCACCGCGTCCAGATGATCGAGGTGACCAAGGTGTCAAACCACATAACTGTCACAAACGACCCTCTTATTATCCCATTCGAAGACTTATTCCTCCGCACACCATCTATACCCGCCGAAAGAGATATTGAAATCTCACAGCAAGATCTGGAAGTCATTGCAGACACAATCTGGGATGTTCAGGGCTTCTAGGTCTCTTCCCCATGATCCTCTCAGTCATGTACTGGCTTTCTACATCGGACAAGTTCGTTGCGGTCAATGCCATATCAAATGGGCTAGAGGTGTTCTGTGCTGTGGTGATATGGTGTGATTGAACCTTTGCTCATTGGGGGATCATGCCTAGACACATTGTATAAGCCAGGGCCATGTTCATTCCAACCTGTCTTGCATAATACATTTAGTTCAAGCCTCCTTGGGAATAATGTTCTCCTGAGCCAGGTGATCAAACACCTGGAAATACCCATACGCAATCGGGTACTCCGTAAAACCAACACTCCGGATCTTATCCAAGCTCAGCTCGCGATTGCGATCCAGAAAGCTGAAGCCTGCTGAAAGGAAAATCCAAGTCGCCTCGGAAATCTCGCGAGGGTGCAGGCCATAGTCTTCGCACATCCTCTTGTAATCGTCCTGGTGTGCGAACCACCACTTGTCGATGTCCTTCCATCCCTTGTCCTCGGGACTTGCGCCTTCGACATTCAGACCAAAGTATTCGCACATCTTGCGCCATACGACCACCCAATACTCGGGGATGGCGTTGCCAGCCGTGTTAAATGCCTCTCTGTGCGTCTGGTTGGGTCTCTCGACAGACAGGTAGAGCTCCGAACGGGCGATGATATCCTGCGAAGATGACGTATACGTGTGGATGTAGTTTTTGTATGGTCCTGGAAATACGACGGTGGCACCGGGACCATTCAAATAACGGTATAGCATCAAGTAGAGCGCGAGAGGCTCGACGTATGTCATGCTTGTGGGAATGGGAACATGACCTGGACGGGGATGTCAGTATAGTCAACCCAAGAAATACAGATACGCACCGACGATTTGACCCGGTCGAACCTCGCACCATTTCCAAGATTTTCCCTTATTGGCTTCCTTGATCAGGTGTAATTTTAGAAATTAGATTTGCGCAAAAGTTGTTTCTTCTGTTGTTAGAAATCTACGGAGAGCACGGAAGAATATCTGACATCAGGATGAGTCGTTCACCAGGTAGACCTCAATTCTAACGATGGCTTTCCTTCATCTCCTAAAGTAGGTTACTTCTCACTAGATACGAATATAACCTGGTCTCAACATGCAACCTGCGGATCAGCCGATTCAATCAAAAATTGATTTTAACTCTGCTTAGAGAGAAAACTCAAGATGAAATCAAGCTCGAACAGAGTGGAGATATTGATGCTCTTCAACGGCATCGGCGGAACGTGATTCATCAAATGCAGTATTCCTACACTGATCGAGCGGTTGAGCTTCTCCGGATAGAAGAAGTCCTTCGAAGTACTGTCCAGGAAGAGCAAATCCTCGCCAAGAAGCCTGAGACCACTTGCAGCTGGCCATTCTATAGGAATAATATACAGGCTAAGCTTCAGGCTTTAAACAAAACATTTTGGTTACTGGAACGACAGTGGTGGAAAGTCCGAAACTCATTCGTGGAGGGACCGCTAATACGAGCATTTGACCTTTGGCGATCACATTCTCTATGGTATATGCACCGAGTTTTGGTCGAGGATTGCGTGAGGAGGGGAGGGTGCTGTAGCCGTAGCTGCGGATGTTGCGTTGATCGCAAGATTGATAAGACACGACAGCTTGGAGCTGGACATTGTATGGTGTTATGTGGATGTTGCCACCGAGCTCGGGGGTTTGAGCTTACTACAAAAGAAAAGATGAAATACCTTACGGATTTTCATATCGTGAATGACAGTAGTCTTTACCGCCTGAGGATCAATCGAGTTTCAATATGGGGATTATCTCTTGATAGTCACGACAGCCCTTTTGATATGATTATAATTCCTCCAGGATGTGAGAAGATTGTTTTAAAAGAGGAGATGGCAAAAGGCAAGGCTGAACAAGTGGATGAAGCGCTTATTCTTATTGACGAAGAGGAGGAGGAGGAAGCTAAAGCGTCAGGCTACTAGCTGCCTGCTGGATTTCCAGAGTTCCTTGTGCAATGTAACTCTTTCTTTTATCTTTGATCCCCTTATCTAAACTGGCAGTCGTTCCCAAAGTTTAACCTCTGTACTATTCCTTCCTATTTAGGAACATTTGTGTCTGCCATTGTTACTATAATCCCTGAAATCTATAGTATTAGTTATATATGTTAACGTTAGGTTATGTTTATTACGTATCTTACTCGTGATAAAGCGAGGTTAGAATGATAAACACGGAGGGGGAAAGAAGGGTACTTATAACTTGTATAGCCATGGGAAACGTTTGCTGTACGGGCTGAATATCCGCCCTAAGTGCCCTAGAGCGGCGAGCCGCCTGTGCCCGAACCGTGGGCGCGGTGACCACCTTAGACATGTGTATGTTTTTATTTTTGGTTGTTTTTGTATATCTATACAAGAGGTAGACAGCCTTGTAATGTTTTTTTAAGTAGTCTTTTAAGTAGTCTAGGTTTTCTTAGTCTCAGATATTCTGTTCAAAAATATGTCTTGTAAGATATTTTCTCCCCCTTCTCGGTTGTATCGGTAGATGGTAGAAAACGGCGGAAACAAAAGCATAATTGTGCAAGAGACTTTTCTATGTATAACCTGGGGTATTATCTTTTTTTTTAACTTATCCAGTAGAGCTGAAGTTGGCCCATTTATATACTCCGTAAGCAACACTGTCGTTGGGATTTCTCAGGAGAAACATACACTATTCAGATCAAAATAGAGAACAAGTGTAGATATAATGTACGAGGGGACCAAATATAAAGGGTAGATCAAGTTTAAAGGTTAATGAATTTATAGTATTCAAGGCTACAGTACATATTATACCAATTGCATATAAGTCCATAGTCCATAGTATCCAAGTAGTTCATGCAGGCACATATCAATGGAGTATAGCCGAATCACGCCATCTGCACCCCGCTGACTCCCCTCCTCTCGTATTTATTTTCCCTTCTCTTCTTAAAATCTTGCTGTTTCTTCTGAAATTTTGATTTTCATTCTTAAATCATGTCTGAGCAGAATCTCCACTTTGATACTCTGCAGCTTCATGCTGGGTAAGTGTCCGATTACCCCAGAAAGGGCAAATCTAACAGATCAAAGTCATGAGCCTGATTCCGCCACAAACTCACGAGCCGTCCCAATTTATGCGACCAGCTCGTACGTCTTCAATGACTCGGCCCACGGCGCGAGGCTCTTTGGCCTCAAGGAGTTCGGTAACATCTACAGCCGAATCATGAACCCAACTGTCGACGTCTTCGAGAAGCGCATTGCAGCTCTCGAAGGTGGTGTTGCCGCCGTTGCTGCCTCCTCTGGCCAGGCAGCTCAATTCATGGCCATCTCGGCCCTCGCTCATGCCGGAGACAATATCGTCGCCACGAGCAACGTGTACGGTGGCACCTATAACCAGTTCAAGGTGATGTTCCCCCGCCTGGGAATCAATACCAAGTTCGTTCAGGGTGATAAGCCTGAGGATATTGCTGCCGCCATTGATGACCGCACCAAGGCTGTCTACATTGAGTCGATTGGTAACCCCCGCTTCAATGTGCCCGACTTTGAGGCCATTGCCAAGGTTGCACACGACAAGGGTGTTCCCGTTGTGGTATGTTGTTTGGTTTGTTCAAAAAGCATACGAGGATACAAAGCTTACGAATTTTCTTTTAGGTTGATAACACCTTCGGTGCAGGTGGTTACTTTGTTCGTCCAATTGACCACGGTGCCGATATTGTCGTGCACAGTGCTACCAAGTGGATTGGTGGCCATGGTACCACCATTGCTGGAGTCGTAATTGACAGTGGAAAGTTTGACTGGGGAAAGAACGCGGCCCGCTTCCCCCAATTCGTCGAGCCATCAGAGGGCTACCATGGATTGAAGTTCTGGGAGACCTTCGGCTCGCTTGCGTATGCTATCCGAGTGCGCGTTGAGATCCTGCGTGACCTTGGTTCTGCTCTGAACCCCTTCGGTGCCCAACAGTTGATCCTCGGCCTGGAGACTCTGAGTCTGCGCTGCGAAAGACACGCAACTAATGCTATCGCCCTGGCTAGATGGTTGCAGAAGAATGAGAATGTGAGCTGGGTGTCATACCCCGGTCTGGAGGATCACCCTAGCCACGAGCTCGCAAAGAAGTACCTGACCCGCGGCTTTGGTGGTGTTTTGTCTGTGGGCATCAAGGGCGGCGCTACCACTGGTGCTCAGGTCGTTGACAACTTCAAATTGATCTCGAACCTTGCCAAGTATGACTCATTCCCATTCGCTCCCTGAAAGCTTTTTACTAACACATTGCAGTGTCGGCGATTCCAAGACTCTGGCCATCCACCCTTGGTCCACCACCCATGAGCAGCTCACGGAGCAGGAGCGTCGTGACTCCGGTGTGACTGAGGATGGAATCCGCATCTCGGTTGGCACGGAGTACATTGACGATATCATTGCTGACTTTGAGCAGTCCTTCCAGGCCTCAAAGGCTGTGCCGGACCGTACTGCTTGAAGGTTCTGACACATATGTGCATGAAGGAATACAGAAAGAACACTACATAGTGGCATGGTAAAATTAGTCATGACTTACGATACCAATGAATACGTTTACAAGATGAATACACGCAAGACGTTCGTAGATGTCCCATAGGGCAGTCACATGGCCGAGCCGTCAAATTCTTACAATCATAAGGGAAGCTTGAGGTAATGTGAATGATTTGAATTTCTCATAAATTTCGGTTCATCCCGAATGTGTCCTTGTTCAACAGTCGGCGAGACCTGCACAACTTGAAAAATTAAGGTAAGAGAAGTGCACAACGAAAACCTCCATCCGCCAAACGATATGCCTCAAGATAAAAAAAAAAGTTTCAATTCACCCCCAACGCCTTTGCCATGCGCGGTGCGCGCATCCTATTTGGACCATATGCACGCATCAATGAGGAATGAAGAAAAAATCAGTTACCCTGACCACCGGAAGGAGGCTGACTGCCGGGCATACCGGGCTGACCACCCATCATAAATCCAGGAGGCAGCATGGGCATGCTGGCAAAGTTGAAACCGTAGGAAGGAACTGCAGGTGCGGCTCCCTGGTTCATGTTAGGCATTTCAGCTTCACCCATCTGGGGACCACCGTATCCATCACGCTCGGGACGGCGACCGCCGAAACGGGCATCCTGAGGGTTGGGGTTGGTGCGAGTGGAAATTGGGCCCCGTTTGCCGCCAGTGTCAGTGGCGATGCGACGGCTGATAGCCTTGGAGGAGACACCTGCACCGATTTCGATATCGGGCTCCTCAACAATCATTCCAGATTCAATAGGACGTCCACCAGTTCCGCCATACTCCGCGGAAATCATCCACTTACGATCAGCCTCGGTCAGTCGCTCAATCGGAATTATGCTAACTCCAGTCTGGTAGTCGCTGCAGTCACGGGGACCGAAGCCAACACCCCAACGGGTCTACATTGATAAAGTCAGTGAGGTCCAACCACCCACGGAGGGCAAAAAAAAGAAGTAAATAACTTACCCTGAGTTGCATCTCGCCGGTACGGTAAGACTCCATTCCATCACGTGCCTGCATGGCATCGGTGCGGCTAATCATCTTAATAAAAGCGTGACGCTTGTCCACGTTGACAATGCAGGTTTGAACAATTCCGAACTGACCAAAGAGCTGACGCAGGTGAGCCTCCGAGGAGGTGACACCACCAACGAAAAGAGTTCGACTCAAGACTTTGATCATACCCTGACCAATCGAATAGTCCCATTCAATGAACTTGGGTCCAGGGGGAGGCAGATTTGGATCCTTGTTACGAGCAGGCGAAGGCGAACGACGTCTACCACCAGCACGACCTCCAGGGGGGCTACGCTGGCGGTATTCATTACCACGACGGCCACGCGCATCACGGGGGTCTCCACGACGACCAGGCGATTCACCATATTCTCCATAAACAGGGCTGTCGCGACGGCGAGGGGGCGAAGCAGTACGGCGTCTATCCCAGCCCGGAGAACGAGAGCGGCGACGATATCCAGTGGGTGGCGAGCGAGGGTATTCGCGGCCACGATCATCCTTATTCTGGGCGTCCGAGTGACCCCATCCACCAACATTCTGTCCTTGCATTGGGTTGAATCCAGCCATCGGGCCTCCAGGCATCGCAGGCATTCCAGGCATACCGGGCATACCGGACATACCGCCCATGCCATTGTTGTTGGTCATGCTGAAGAGCTGCAGAGCAGTTCCCCACTGGTCCTGAGGGATACCCTGGGCAGCAAGCATCTGAAGAAGTTGAAGCTGTTGTGCCATGGCGGTCGCGTCAGGTGCGGCGGGCTGCGCAGCCTGAGGAAGCATCGCGGTCAATGGGTTCGCGGTAGCCATCGAGATCGGAGTTGCACTCTGACTCTGCGGCTGGAGAGCAGGGTTCTGACCCATGCCGGCCATACCTGCGAAGGGAGGCGCGACAGGTCCACCGGCGCCAAGTGCATTCATGGCAGCGGCCATGTGCGAATTCGGGTCGTTAGCAGGGGTCACAGAGGCCGAGTTGAAAGCACCGAGAGGGTTGGCCGGGGCTGGAGCCGAAGGAGCAGCAGGCGCGGTGGTGTTCTGCTTGGCCATGTCGGCCAAAGCTTTCAGGATGCTCGAGGTATCAGGTGCCGACTGTTGCGGGATTCCGATCGGGTTGGCATTCGGTGCAGGCGATCCTTCGGGGG